GTTTCCTCTCCACCTATCCTCTCCTCTATCCCTCTTCTATCCGCCTCCCACTCTCTCCCTATTTATTTCAAAACCCCCTTCCCCTCCCCCTTTTCTGATGAAGGGTCTAGGCCCGAAACGTCAGCCTCTCTGCTCCTATGATGCTGCTTGACCTGCTGTGTTCATCCAGCCCTGCACCTTGTTGTCTCGGATTCTCCAGCATCTGCAGTTCCTACTATCTCTGAATAAATTAGGTAAGCATGATTCTCCTTTCAAAAAACCATGCTGATTACCTTGAACTTATGTAAGTGCCTGCTCTAATTTCTTTAATCATCAGTTCTAATGTTTCCCTATGAGGGATGTAAAGCTTAATTCCTGTTCTCTGGCTGTCTCCCATTTTACATAAATGAGTCATTGTATCTTCTAACAAAATGGGTCTTTCCCTGAATCAGGAAGAATTGGAAAATTAAAACTAATATATTAATTATCTCACTTGCCACTTCTTTTAAGGTTTTATGCTGCAATCCATCAAGACGTAAGCAATTCTCAGGCTACAGCTCCAACAATTTATTCAGTACCACTTCTCTCGTGATTTGCATTCTCTGCTTCAATTTATAACGACAATGAAAAGCTTAGATTTCAGTAAGATAGCCTTTATAACCAGGGCTTTCTCAAACAATTGCATTCAACTTGATCATTCATATATGAAACCAGCTCTACCCCTTTCAGCCTGACCCCATACCATAAAAACATACAGCAAAGCACCCAAAAGACACAGCAAGCATTGCAAATAATAATCCCACGTCCAAATGAAAATACCTTGAATGACAGCAACGTGTTCAGTTTTCACTTGCCTCCTGGTTTTACTTCCAAGATTAAAAAAATGTAAAACCTTCCAGTAAATCAGGACCAACTCATTCATGTGCAATAACGTATTATTTCTACCCACACAAACGGGTTTTGATAACGGGATAAAAATATATTTTGCCTCCATTTGATAAATACTTTCTCATTTAAATTGAAACTAACCACATCTACAAATTGCCAGCCCAGCATACAGAAAGGAACAGGAGAACAAATGCAGAGACTGGAAACAAGGCTTGTGGTTTTCAGGGACTTTTTTTTTACATTCTCACTAATTTGTTTACTAGGTGATGCAATCATATTATAACATTGCCTTCTGAACTTTCGTTAATGTATGGGGTATTTGGTCTTACAAAAAAGCAGAATTGAGCAATATCCTCAATAAGAATCAACTCTGCATTAAATTTAAGGCCACAGTATACAAGGAAATGATTAATTTCATTGTCGCCACAGTATTTCAATTGGCCCAAAGACAACTGTCATAAGTTAGCACCAAATGCTTTTTTTTGCAAAACAAATAGTGCAGTTTTCTACACTCAAAAAGATATCACCAAAATGCACCTTCCACAGAATTGTGAGGTCACAGCTGATGTGATACCACTGCATGCGCTCAAAGCTGGAAGATTTTCACTAGACGATCACTATTATTTTTACTGTAACTCAGATCTGAATCTCAGATTTAAATCTATCAGTTATCACTGTATTCATTACAATAGTGTTCATTGTATTTTCCATAGATAGCAGTTCCTGATCGTATGCAGCCTTAAGTGAGAGATGCCACATTCATTTGCAAGTAATTCATTGAATCAGTGATGTCAAGTTTTTCTGTCCCCATTATCTGAAAGTTTCTTTTGTTGAAGCTTCTTTACAGCCTCCCTGTCTCAAACATCTCTTCTGCAGCCTCCCTTTCTCTTCCTCTTTCGGCCATCCTCACTCTCTTATGTTCTCTCCAACCTCCCTCTTTCTCCCACTCCCTTTTAGTCTTACTGTCTTCCACGCAACCCTACAGCTTCCCTGTCTCCCTTCAGACCCATTGCAGCTACCCGCTCTTTATGGCCCTTGTAGTCTCTTGCAAGTTCTCTTGCAGCCTCACTCTCTGTCCCCCAAGAACATTTGTAGTCTCTCGTCAATGCTTAGTAGTATCTCTGTCTTCTCCACTTAACTTACAGCATCCAATTAGATCAATTGCAGCCTTCCTATCTTCCCCATCCACCTTGGGTGCAAGGCCCAACAAGCACCCAGACAGATTAAAAA